TGAAGTGACGAGGCTGAAATTGGGAGACGTCTTGGATTCAGTTCCAAAGCACGAAAGGCAAAAAGGGATCTATGCCTCAATTTGCTTCGCCAAGCACGTGTCCAAGGGCAAACTTGTACCAAACGCCACAGCCCCTTCTTGAGGGAATCGCATGATTTTGGCAACATGGGCAGGTGTCAAAATAGGCGGACCTGAAAGATCCTGGCACTGGATGACCTTTGGTTCACCTTTAAACCCCCAAAATGGTGAGCCTCAAAAAGATATGGCCTTTTTTTGGCTTCCCAAGAAAGCACTTCGGACGCAAGTTGCGCATCGGCAATTGTTGGCATCGGCCGTGAAGGGTCTCCTTTCAGACCAGAGCGGTTCAGCCCCAAGAAGCGTTCTCACACACTGCGTGCGTGCACCCTTCCCAAACATTTGGGTGTGTGAATTTTTAAGGGGACACCCCCCAACAATTCGAGGTTTTCCGCTTGGTTTCCCTTTGAAGCACAAAAAGGGGGGACCCTCAAAACAGAGACATCCCAAATCCGCTCATCCACTCGTCAGTAAGTCATTCCACGGACACCTGCGTGACTTGCAGCAAGCTACTGGAAGCCACTCAGGCCTCGGCAGACAGATGAAACTTCAAGGTTTCCATGTCAGTGCGCATGCGAATTCTTTCTGGGTTCGCAGAAACTCTGAGTCACAGGTGGCTGGCTTTTGCGTGCCATCCAAACAGACCTGCTTACTTGTTTCTAGGGAAGGGTATGTACCCAGGTAGGGAGTTGAGACAAGCATTGTAAGGATTCCCACTGAGGAAACCTCGGACAATGGCCCATGTTTCGGGGATTGGCCTTGCCGGACGAAGAAACGACACCACGCCTGGAGACAAAGGCTTATTTGCCAGTCGCCAGCCGGCCAGGCGAATTAACGCCACGCTGGCTGAGAGCGGTTCCGATCGAAGGAGCGTGTGTCCTCAACGAAAAGACGCACCGTAAGTGTTCCCTTTGGCACCTCTTGGGAACTGGGAGCGGAGCTTCCAGCGCTCTCGCGCGCTGCCTCGCGATGGAAAGCGGCCTTGAGTCGATCTTCCCGCATCAGGCGCTGGGCGCCACTTTTGAGATGCACGGCCTGGGGAGCAGCTTCGGGAGACACCTGTTCAAACAGAAAAAAATACCGTCGAAAACTGGATTTTTCCCATGTCCGTTGCGGGTGACTGGATAGCTTATGGGGTAAATGCCGTGAACGGAATCAAGCAAGGGCTCAACACATGTTCATTTGGATGTTTATTTGGACTAATCATGGCAAGCTTGCGTTGCAGCAGGCGATTCCAGGCCCTCAGTCAGGTTGATGAACTATGGGTGTGTCTCAAAACCGGGGACCTTTCAAAGCACACGAACCATCTAGATGCACATTTACCTGAACATGGGGCCAGCACGGCTTATGGCTGAGGCTCATTTGGCGCTGACGTTCATATTGAAAGACCGCTCTCATGGGATTTTTGGGCGACATTGGCATGCATTTTCTGAGGGGACAGCAAAGGGACATGCCGCCATAAGCACCCATTGTTCTCTGCCTTGATGCAAGGGGAACACTCGGAATGCATATGGCCTCAACGCTGTCCAGATGTGACAGTGGCCAAGCCGCTGGCAAACCTGGGTTGCTGGCCTGCCTTGTTGCTGTTTGAGTTTGGTTGTTTGTCTTTCGGGGTACCCATTTTTGAGGGGGCTTTGAAGGACACTAAAAGGACACCCACCAATTTGGAGGGGTGCCAAAAAAACAGGACAGACCCAATTTTGGATTTGGAGTTGTGGAATTTGCGTCGATCGCATGCAAGCTGCTCCTCCGGTGTTTTGGGCGCGGCATGCCTTGTGAATGCAAGCCCCGCCTGAGCCAAACGGCCCGTTTGGGGCCGCATTTGCCAGGTCTCAGAGCCTTTCTGCGGGGGGAAAAACGGATCATCTTCGATGTATAGGTCAAGCGACATCATTGCAGGGAGACCTTCTCCGAAGAGCAACAACGCACACATCACAGTTTTTTGGACCTGAAAGGGAAACCCTTGGATGTGCACGATGCAAGGCCCTATGCTGCTTTTTGCTGAAAGAGGAGAAATCCGAATTCACACTCACTTCAGTTTCATTCACTTCAGTTTCTGGATGCGGTTTTTAGGTTGCCACTGGGAAGCGCAAAGAGTGGACACTGCTTGGGCCCACTGGAGTCCACTGGAGTCCACTCGAGCGGAGAGGACCTCTTCCAGCTTTGAGACCTGCGATGCTTTCGCACCTTGAGAGCCCAAAACTACGGTCCGGCGATGCCTTTTGCTTGTGGAAACGGAGCCCTGAAACCTGCGAGTTCGGACTGGGTGAGCCAGAAAGTTGTTGCAACAAGGTCTGTTTTTTTGGGGGCGCTCAGGCTCATGTGAGGTTGGTGGTCTATGGTTCTTTTGGGACGGATGGGGGAGGAGCTCCAAATCTCACTCAAAAACCCGGGGACGCACAAATTGTCCCATTCCTCTTGGGGGAAACACGTGATTGCGACCCTGGCTTTTGCTCTCTACGTGTGGGAGAAGCGAGGGGCGATCGATATCTTTCGACGCCCAGACGGGGTGGTGGTGTCTACACGTCAGGGCGATTGGAAGAAAAGGGCAAGTTTCGGTCGTTTACCATTTGAGCCACAATCAAAACCCGGGTAGATGAAGGGACAATCCCAACCATAAATGGCTGGGGCCGCCTTCTTAATTCTTTACATGGTTCTGGGTAGACCTTTTTTGATACCGGGTTTTGATTATGACTCATTTGCTTTTCCCTCGAACAACCCCAAACCGGGACCCTCGGAAAAAGACGCCCTCGTAAGGTCCATGCGTTTTCTTGCCTTTGAAAGGCAGTCAGGCAACACGTTCGCCAACACAAAAGCAGTTGCCAGCCCGTAAGGGTCATTGAGACAAAAACATGCGTACAGGTGTGCTTTTCTTTGAAGGTACGTACCCTTTTTTGTGCGGCTTTAAAGAGAATGCAACAGCAAAGCCACCATTTTGGGGCTCCTCCCCGAAGAAAAAAACAACTAAAAAAGCAACTTTCATAATACATTTTTTTTGTTTGGACGGCGTGTCACGCCACAGCCGCCGCTTGCTTTAGGACGGAGTCTCTTGACCATGCGCCGGTCCACCTTGGCCCCAAACGTGACCGCAGGGCACGTGACAAGCGGCCCGGGTGGACCGAGAGAAGTTGGCGCGGGTGCAAAAAAAAGCTGCAGCCCATGGGACCGGGCCGGTGCCATGGTGTGTCTTCTCTAGGGGAGACCCCCTAAATAGATGGCTCTCTTTCTTGCTTTTAAGACGGCAGAAACTCGAACACAAAAGACAGACCCAGAAGAGACCCAGGAGCCTAAGCCTAAATGAGGACATGGACCCCACCACATAGTGCTTCGAGACCAGGAAACAATGCCAGATGATACAAAGGAATCTCAGACGTGGTCCAAAAGAGTAAACATCTTGCGGGGTTCTCAAGACCACTTTGGTCCACAAGAGTAAACATGTTGCGGGGTTCTCGAGACCACTTTTGTGGTCTGTTTCCCTTTCACCCTTTTTAGAGGGTCATTTTGAGGATGTCAGTTTGATGGATTCAGCCCATGGCCCTTCGAACGAGCACCTTGAGAGTTTTGCGGCATCCAGGTTTCACAAGCTTCGGGGATGAAATTCAGCAAGCTCCGTCCAACAAGAAGCTGGCTTTGACGAATACATGTGGCAAGCAAATTTCTACGGCCATGCCATGGGTTGCCCGGGCCTCAAACTTGAACCCCAAGCCTAGACTTAATCCTAAAGCTGAGTCACAAACTCAAACCAAAAACCTTAAACCTAAGTCTAAGCGGGATCCCCAAACCCAAACCGGAACCCGAACCCAAAACCCAGAACCTCACCCCTCCTGGCTTACACCCTAAACCCCAAGCCTAACTCCTAAACTTGAACCCTAAGCCAAGACCCGCAAACGTGAACCCTAAAGCCTCCTAACCGAAGCCTAGACCGCAAACCCTAAGACTTAAGCCCCAAACCTAAACCTAAACCCGCCTCGAACCTAGGCCTAAATCAAAGCCTAGGCCCGAAACCTAAACTTTAGACCTAGAACCCTAAAGCTAAACCAAGCTTTGTGTGCTCCGAACGCGTGGGTGGTGCCACAGCACCACTCTTTGAACAGAACGCAGCTCGGCACTTGGGCCAGGTGGTATGACCTGGACGCGACAGCACCGGTGCCGGCAACCCACGGTACTAGTAGTTCACTCCCCCGGCCAAGATTGGTTTTGAAGCATCCCACGACCTCATTCCAATTGTCTAAGCCCCTATATTCTGTAAGCGCGCCCTTCGGGAGAGAGAGAGAGAGAGAGAGAGAGATAGAGACAGAGCGAGAGAGAGGAGAGAGAGAGAGAGAGAGAGAGAGAGAGTGAGAGAGAGAGGCACAGAGAGGGGGGCCGACAAGCGAGCTCAGCACGCTGAAGAAATACCAGCATTTCACAAGAATTCCCAGCAAATACGTGCGGCATGTTCGCTCGCTTGATGTTCAGAGGTGACAGAGGCTGGATGGGACACGTATCCTATCCTACTGGAGGCATGCATCGCATGTGAGCCAACGGGTTTAAGCAGAAGAAGCTGCAGGCCGAAGAGCCACAATCAAACCGGGTAGATCGAGGGTGAGGGACCATTGCAGCCAGGTGAGCTGCCCCTAAACCCCGGGGCGCTTGGAGGAAGTTGGACTGACGCCTTCCATCTGCTTGCTGCTTCCCTGCGAAAGGAAGAAGGGTTGGGTCCCAGGTGTTCCTGTGGATGGTTGAACTCGAACTCCATTTCGCACCACGACATGAAACCATGGGAAGCCTTTGGTTGGTATTTACGTTGAATTGAATCATTCCGTTGGGTTTTTGATGTGGTGCCGAAATGGATTTCGCAACCATCCATTTTATGACTGGAGCTTCTTGGGCCCGTTTCAAGACTCTCGGATTGGACCGGATCGATCCATTTCTTTTGGCTTCCAAAGGCTGCGTTTGGCGCTTTTCCGGGCACCCCTTTGGGCTGCCAAAAGCCGCAGCCCGAGTCGACCTCGTTGGGAGTGGCGCATCCTCTGCTTGGACTAAAACCTGCGGTCTCCTGGTGGCTTCATCTTGACCCACTTCGCCAGTGAACTTTGACCAGTTGGGACGATCATGTCAGTGGCAAACAAACAGTTTGGCCCTTTGTTTGGCCACTTGGGGAGTGAGGATAGACACACACACACACACAGACAGACAGACACAAACACACAGACCCTTGTAGGTGTCTTTAAGCATACGTTTTCTACCGCAAAGCGGAGATCCAAATGGCGAGAAGTTGCCAGACTTGATGCGCAGACTCTGCGCAAGAGGAAGTGAATGAATGAATCATACGTTTGCTAAAAGCCGAGCTTCAGCGAGCTTCCTTCTTGCATGGCGGAGCTTCGAAGTTTAGGGAGCACCTGAGGCCATGAGCAACGGACAGTATTTGCTTTCTACAAAGGGAATGAGGGTACGCTGACCAACTCTCCATCAAATGGGTCTTGCTTGCCAATAAATGGCTAATGCGGCTCTAGGGGTTGCACCTCACCGTGGTTGTCCGAAGGATTTCAATGTGGCCGGATCTCTATTGACCTGACCTCTACTCACTTCCTGAGTTCCTGGACTTTACGCTTTTTGGGAGGGCCATTAACAAACGGTTCGCACCTTTTTGGCGAATCCACTCAGGAAGTGAGTCTACCAAACCTGCATCAACCCCCTCGTAGCCTTCTCCCACAACAGTATCCCAAGGCGAACATGTGGTGCAACCTCTCCATCCCAGCAGACATGCCCTTGCCTTCCCTGCTGGAAACCCCGGTAAACTGCCCAAATGTTCCACCCAGTATTTTGGTCGGTAATTGTGGGGGTATCATTTTGACCGTTTCTGGGGGCAGTCAGACACTGGTTGGTAGTTTACATAGGTGACCAGCTGTTTCCCAGCTCAATTTTGCGCAAGAAACTCAACACCCTCCCAAAAAAGCATCGCGCCCCTCCCGCGCCTTGAGGACCATGGCTCTGCTTTTGACGGCGCTGCTGGCGCAGGTGGCTTTTGCGGTGCCTCAGGCGGGGGAAAGGCCAACGAGGCCGCAGGCAAGCGACCAGAAACCCGGCTGGTTCTCAGCAGGGACCCAATTGTAGCTCATCCCCTGTGGTGTGCTTTAAGATGGAATCCCCAGGTTCATTCTCAAACCCTGGGTCTGCTGAGCGCCAGGTTTGGCCCGCTTTAGCATGGAAGCGGGAAAGCATTTTGATGGAGATGGGAGTGAGGCAAATTGATACTGGGGTCGTTATTTTGACGGTTTCTGGGGGTTATCAAAGTCAGTAAATTGGGTTGTTTCCCCTTCAACCCACCACTAAGGGGGTGACTTTGATCATGGTAAAATAATACGTCAATTTTGCACTTTTGATGCTGTGGGCATGCTCGCTCTGAGCTCAACAGTTGCCGGTGAGCCTTTTTGACCCCCTGCCAAAAGGGCAAGGCGGGGAACCTTCACTTGCCGGGCCTGTTTCCTTTGAACACTAAGTGCTTCACCGGCAGTTTGACAATTTTACCCGCTGTTGCGGCGTTGGAAGGCTTTCGAAATGCCCTCGTCGTTGCTCAGGCGGACTTTAAAGCCTATGAAGACTACAAGAAGGACGGGCGGTGCGGATACGAGTTGCGGTCGGCAAGTGTCCACACACTTGGACATCCCTTGTTACGAGTCTCGTAATGTGGACCCCATATTAACCAACCCCAGCTATTTGAATGGGGGGGGCAGGGGTGCCTGGGTGAAATGTGGGGAATCAGAGCACTTTCGGAGGGGAACACCCAGTATGAATAAACTGGAGTCGATTATAATATGGGGTCAACATTACCGGTTCCTTGACTCTCTTACCAAGCTTGATATATGTTGGTGACGGTTTGGGGTTCATTTGTCCGCGGCATGTAAAAGGGGCCATCGGGCATTTTGTCTTGGGTACCCAGTTGTTGGAATTCAAACAGATCAGGTGACACTTAGTTGGTGGTTTGGATTGGTGGGAACTGGGGATTTGAACCCCTGGTTCTTCTAGAGGGTAAGTGAGAAACCATCCCTCACGTCCGAACCACCGCTCCAAACCTTTTTTTCTTCAGGGAAGCTGAACCACTGCGCCTTAAGACACGTCCATCGCGTAGCAAAAACAATCAGCGATTTTAGAGAGGCTCGGCCATGGGAGTGGCCGCGTCTGACTGGGTTGTTGTTCAACATTGTTTTGTTTGGGTATCATTTTCAAGATTTGGTTTTTAGGGTATCCTTTTCATGGATGGGTTAACGGGGAACCCAAATACAAGCCGTGCGTTTCAGGGGTGCCCCAATTTTCTGAGACATACCCAGATGGTCATGGTTTCCTTGCCTCCGCAAGAAAACTCACGCTTGACAGGTCGACCAATTGACTAGGGAGCGCAAAGGCTCCAAAAACATCGGAGCCTTGAGCCAGTTGGGCTACACGCGGAGTCCTGAGCGTGCATTAAAAAAGAGAAAACATAAACTAGGTGTGGATACCCACGCCAAGTCTGTACATTGGTTTGTCTCTTTCACCTCTTAGCAGTCCAAGGCCTTGCTTCAGTCACAGACTGGAGTTATGGCTAGGTGTCAACCCATGTTCCTCGAAAGGGGGCCCTGGTGGATTCCACATGGGAGGAATGGGAATTTCCAAAGAGCTGGTTCCGATTGGGCGAAAGATGGCAAACAACAACAGAATCTCAAAGAAGAGTTGTGGCTTAGTCATCCCCTTTACTTCCATGGTCCATCCGCGCCAAGGGGAAGTAGATGGCTTTACTTGCCCAGACTAATGGTGCCATCTACTTCTCCTGGTCCATCTATCCGCGCGCAAACGCGGGATGCCCGCGAGCGAGCGACTGAGGACATGATCGCTGCAGGCCAAGGCGCCATGAACTTTACCGGCTTCACCCAGGCGAATCGAGCGACTCGAAGTGTTTTTCATCTTTTTTTCTTTCGCTGTTGCACTTGGGGGGGGGGGGTTTAGGGTGGGCGGCAGGGGGGGGCGGGGGGTGCGGGGGGAAGGGACAGGGTCTAAATTTGGCCTGGCCACCTTAAACGTTCTTAAGGGTGTTGCTTTCTTAGGATCTGAGCCACCTATTGTTTGGGGTTTGAGCTGAGTGTTGCTGGGTCACTTTGGCTGGAGCGGGGATGGTCAAAAGGCCCTAACTTGGGTGTCCGAAGCAAGGATCTCGCATCGTGGTTTCATGGGGCAAAAATATGACCCTCAGTACTCTACTGGAACCCCTGCCGGAACCAGAATCCCAGGGTCGCCTGCAAATTCACATGGCCCAAAAAAGGGAATGCCCACAGGAGATCCCTCTATGGTGTCTCTTGGGTTCCCTGCCAATCTGTCGGGGGAAGGCAAAACAGCCTTAACCGCTGCGGGAAGCTTCTTTGCTGATGGCGGCCCCCACAGACAAGTCATGGGGATTTGCGGCTTTGCAAGTTGCTCGGATCTATGTTGCTTACGTGCCATTGAACACGATGTTCGCCTCTTTGGACTTGGCATGAGGCTTGTTCTATTCCATGGTATAGTAGACAGTCTAGCAAGGGCCAAACAAATCTTTGCACATGGTTTCGGAGAGCAAGTCCACCAAGTCCGTAGGGTTTGGTTTGCTGATGTGTGTTATGCAGCAAGAGCCTTGCCCATCATTGTCCTTAAGCTGGGTTTGGCTGGACGGGCCTGTCAATCTTTGCTTGTTTCAACAGTGAAGATGTGGGGCTTGAGACAGGTGTTTTTTCCTGTCCAGCTGCCCCGCTCGCAGCATTCGGGTTTGAGCCAGCGCTGATTCTGAGAACGCCTCACAAAGGGTGATGTTAGTCGAATCAAAAGCACTTGGTCACTAAGAATTGAAGACACAATCTCCAGGCGAATCTCCAGGAATTTTTGGGTGATTCAGGCGATTGGATGTATCTTTTGGGCGCTTTTGGGGTGCATCTTTGAAGGTCTGCCGGTTGAAAGGGAGTAAAACGAAACCGCAACCATGTGGGGGTTCCACCATTGGAACTTCACTATTGGGTGTGTCTTTTGTTAGACCCCCCAAAGTGGTGGTTTTCCTTTTGGTTTCACCTTATAAACAAACCACACCAAAGGGTACCCTCAATCAAAGACAGACCCATTTGGACGCGGCACAAGATCCAATCTGCTTCACAGGCGTGGTCCAAGTTCCAGCACTTCCAGAACTACCTTCACAAGAAGGGCAGCGAGTCCCCCTTTGGGTTCCACTCGCCCGGGAACTCAGCGACGACGCTTCAAGCGACCCACCAACATCCTCGTGGCCGTTTTAGGTTTGGTGGTTCTACCTTGCAGGGTGTGGTGAGGGCTGAGATTGGCTCCGACTTTTTTTGGTGGTTTTGAAGGGACACCACCAGGAACACGCACATTTCTTTTTGGTGTCCCTAAAGAAAGGCGCGCCCAGAGCCTTTACGCAGTAGCCATCTTGGTCTCTTCCAAAACTTCACCCAAATGGGGGTGGGTCAAAAATAGGGTAACCCCAATTTTGAACCCTCGGAAATGGAATCGTGGACCAAAACCTGCGGTTCCCTGGTGGTTTAATTTGACCTACCGGCAAATCTCCCAAAAATTGGGGGGTTTCCTTTTCCCGGAAACTCTGTCCGCCCGAGGTTCGTGGGGGAGTACGACAAGTTCATGGACTTCCAGCACTACTTGGGGAAGGGCGCGGAGCATCAGAAGGACGAGAGCGCCAACTTCAAGGCGAGCTTTCGGCAGCTTTTGGGAAGAGGCTCAAGACCTGTGGGTCGTTTTTGTTCTGTGGAGAACACAAGGAACACCAAAATTCAAGGGGTTGATTCCTTTTCCATTCTTTTCAACCATGATTCTTTTCAACAACCAGGCGTTTCCCTGGGTTTCCGGAGGTTTTCTAGAAAGAAGGATCCCTGGAAAGAATGGGGAAGGTATCCCTAGAAGACATCATTTTGGGGGAGTGTCCCAAAAAAATGCAGAGCCCCTGTAGCTCCCTAGGTGTCCTATGGATCATTCACCAGTGCCATTCTATTTTTCCAAGAAGACACCTCATCTGGAGACCGTCAGCTCATGAATCAAAGAATCACTTGGGCCACTTCAGAAGTGACCTGGTTGGTCAGGTGCCCTCACAGCAAGAACGTGCTGTGTGAGAACTCACTTGGTCGAGACCCCGGAAACTCATTTTCTCAATGTCCATCGTGGTTTAAGCTGGTATGTGCAGGCGGTAGTTGGCGCAGGTCTGGGCCGGCCTCACTCTTTTTGCTTTGCGAAAAGGGCCTATCAACCGAAAGGGCCGCGGAGAGCTGAGAGCGAGAAATCGAGCTCTGAGTTCGCGAAAAGGCCGAGCGCACGAGCTCGGTGTACTGGGCTCGGATCTTCTGAGACTTTTGGCTTGATTTCTGGCGGCCTTTCCGGTTGACGCGCCTCTTCGCAAAGCAAGAAGCAGGGCTCAATGTCTGGGCGGGCTCGATTTCTTAGTGGGCTTCGTCGACAATACTTTATGGGAGCCTTTTGCCTTGTTGTGAACCCCCGCTCAGAAAGTCGGGGCTGACTTTCGTAGTGGCCTCTTCGCTTGCACTTGGCCCTTGTCAACTTGTGGCTTTTTCTTGCCAAGAAATCGGTCGAGCAAATCCAGAAAGCCCCAATTTCTTAATTTCTTAGCAAGAACAGTCGCAACCCTCCTGGTTGGCAAGTCTTACCTCCTCAAATTCGTTATACAATGATTTCTTATACAGTGCTCGCGCTGTTGGGTTACAAGCTCCCTTCGTGATTTGGAGGCGGCAGTTTTAGCTTTGGTGCATTTTGCTGCTTGGATGTTAGGACTTTAACTTTTTGCCAACTAATGGGTTTTCCATTGAACCACTAAAAGTTAAACTTTTAGCAGGGAAGCAGAAAGCAACCAAGTTAGCTCCATTGTTTTGGGTTATTTAGAAACACGAAAAGGACAACCACCACTTTTGGGGTTCTGAGTCCTATTTTGGCAACCCCTTTCTATGGATACGTTTGACACCTCAGTGAACAGAAGATGGGGGTCCATTGCGAGGTACAGGACGTGTATCTATGATGCGGTGTTTTCAAGGATCGCAGAATCTACTCCACAACAGACACCAAAAACATAAGCCCAGATCTCTTGGAGCACGATACTTGGTTGCTGGGTTGGATCTTTAGATGAGTTTTTGGTTGAACTCAAGGGGTTTCCATCAAGCAAGAAGTTGAACTTTCTGAGGGGTCAACAGCAACCAAGGATTCTGTCGACATTGAGCAAGGAAGTTCCAGAAGTCAGTGGAGGAAGCCCAGAGACAATGAAGCAAGGAAAGTCAATCAGTCAGCCACAGGCATTTGTCTCGCTTGGTTCACATGTGTTTCATGCGAGCCTGCTTGGGAATCTGTGGTTCTTGTGCCGCAGCTAACACCTTCTGCCCACTACCCGCATGTCTGGAAATCGTTTTGGATGCGCCTTTTGCGGATTTCACCTGTTCTTCCCCCTGTTGGTCTTTTTTAGTAGACTTTTAGTGCTCTTTTGACCTTCTACACGGTTGGAACCACAAAAGCCACATCCAAACCGTTTTCTAGATTATGTAGTATTGATTGAGCGGCCTGCATGCACACGGCCTCCTTCCTTTCCTTCACCACGCTTCTTGCCTCTAAATTGGAACCAAAGTGTAGCTGCCCTGCCGCACACTGTTCGCAAGGATCGAAGGGGGTTTCCACTGCCCCCAAATCACTCCCAGGGAAAACCGAGTATTAATCAATCCCTATGTGTTGGCTGTATAGTGGTTTGGTTGAGAAAGGAGGGAGGGCAGGGAAAGTGGGACAGCCAGCTGTATGGACTTGTTGGAGCCCTTGTGTCCTATGGCCCTGCCAATGAGACTGGTCATCACAGACTTCGTCTAGGTTTGTACCCGTGGATGACCCCAAACCTCTCACGCCGGAATAAGTTGGTAAGGGAGGCAAGGAACCAGTGTGAACCAGGTTCCACTCGTCCTGCCCTGCACCCGCGCTCAAAAGACTCCTTTACTTGGGCTTGGTAGAGTTGATCACAAGCCTTTTACTAGATGTCTTCTAGATCCCCCAGTAGTGCCCTTTTACCCTTCTTTGGGGGAGGGTTCCCCTACTAAAATAGACTACAGCAAAAGAACAAAAAAACATCGGGCACCCTTATTCGAGCACCTCTCAAATCTGGAGGACCTAGTCTTAGACAGCCACCGTCATTTTTTTTTTCGAGGCCGAAGCCGAAGCCGAGTTTCTCGCCCGGTTTGCCAGGACTTCTTGGATTTCGAGAAGTTCCTGTCCTTCAGTCACCAGGGCTCGCAGCTCAGATGGTTTTCCAAGCCGTGGGTTTTGGCGGACTTAGGACTCTTGGGTTCAAAGCCGCCCATTTTTTTTGGCGGATTTGGACTTGGGAAAGGCCAACGGAAGGCGAGTTTTTCCTTTCGCGGGTGGGTTTTTGTTCCTTTCTAAAGGGGGAGGGGGGGCGAATTATTCCTTATTAACCGCTTAGGCCTCATTGAGGGCTTGTCACCTTGGCTTCTCAACTGGGGCTTATCCAGGGATAGTTCCCCCCCCCAATCCCAAACTAACCAATCCGAACAATCCCGGAACGGTCTGGCCGAATCTTTTGCCCTTTGCCACCTATGCCAAGGGGATCCCCCCCCCCCCCCTCCGCTTGTGGCTGCGGTTTCCCGAGGGCACGGGCAGCACATGAACTTCCCAGGCGCGGCCGGCCTCCGGGCCTCCGCGTGAGGGGATGCGCTTGTCACAGATACTAGCTCCCCCAGCAATTTGGTGCCGTTACTTTTACCGTTTCTTTTTGGGGAGGGCTCTCTCCTACTAAAATAGACAGAAAAACAAGAATTGGGCACCCGTATTCTGCACCACTTTGCACCATAACGTTTGTTGGTATTTACCGGGGAATCGAATCATTCCAGGGTTGCTCAGGTGGTGCAGGCTTTCAACCATCCACAGTATGACTCTCATGGCATGATGACTATCATGGTACCCCATGTCAGCATGAGACGTCTCATCTCATGAGACGTCTTCCATCTCATCGCCTCTTTGGAAGTCATAGGGTCCAGCTTGGTCAGCTTCCCCCTAAGCATGTTTGCTTTGGTTTGGTGGTTAGGGGCTGCCTCCCTTGGGCTTCAAAGGGCGCATTGAAATCCCGAGCCACCCATCCGCCACCAATGAAGGGGAAGCTGAGCTTGAGGGAGCTACGACGTTCGCAGAAGTTTTGCCCATAGCTGCTTTTCACGCCTGTCAGAAATCCGTTTTATGCCGTCAGCGTCAGGACCGTTGTCTGGAACCCAATAGAAACAGCATCAGAGACTCCAGTTGACATCCTCTTCTTTGGGTTTCATGAGGCAGCGTAGGCAGCGGATGTGTGGCAACTGTGAGCCAGGCGCTCCCGTCATGATGGCAGCAGCTGGAGGACGCGCGAATTTCTCGGCTCGCGACGTGTTCATGTGGCTGTGGCTCGAATAAATGTGCCAAAATGGCACCTTGGTAAATGGAACCAAAGGCTAAAACCTGCGTACCCCCTGTTGAATTTTGAGCCACAGCCGTGTCTGGACATGTCGGGGGCTAAAGGAGTATCAAGCCCGTCCACTATCACCAGAGGGTTCATTTCAAGGGAGAATCGTCTTCCAGGCAGCATCTCCAGTGCTCAGGATGATGGTGAGGATCACCGTGATGATGACGGCCATGATGACAATCGTGACTTCGTCCCCCACAACCCCCTTCTAAAAAATGGCCAAGAAATCGATTTTGAGCGCTGTGAATACTCATTTTGGAGCACTGGAGATGCTGGGGATGCTTGGTTATCATTCCCGATGCAAAGACGAGTATCATAGGCCTTGGACTAGAACCTTCACTGAGGCTGAAAAGTGGGGAGACTGAAACAAGTCAATTTGTTTGGGACGGCCTGCCTTTGCCTTAAAAGTGGACAGCCTTCTGGTTGTCCAAAGGAAGCCAACACAGTCTTCGTCTTTTTTGAGGCTTGCTACTCTTTTTGGGGTTGTTTTTTTCAAAGGACAACCAGAGGGAGAACTGAAGACATTTTGGGGGGTCCTCTGTTTGAAGACCAAACGTTGGGGAATCGAATCCTTCCAGGGACTCTGAGGTGGTGCCTAAGAGGATTTCGTCCATCCACAGTATTATTGACTGGCTCAGATTTCGCCAGGAGATGACAAGAAGAGTAAGCATGAGGATAGCCAGGATGCGGATGACCAGGGCACCTTGCTCTGCATGGCGGGTTTGTCAAAGTAAGGTATATAAGGCCGGAATGGGAACCCTATGTTTGATGAATGGGTACATATATGTGTTTGTATATATATATATGTATATATATATATATGTTCCAGGCTTCCTTGGCCGCCCCACCCCCCCCCCCCCCAATGGTCATGTTCAGTCAAGAAGGTAGCACAGTGTGACCCTACAAGCCCCCCGCCCCATTGTGGGATGGGTGGGGGGGGGGTCCATGGTTCCCACCCCCCCCCCCGCCCCCCCCTATGAGATTGGGGGTTGTGGAGAATGGTAGCACAGTGTGACCGCAAGCCCCACTGGTGAGTTGCAGCGCACTTGGTTAGCACTTGGTTGCGGCGCTGCAAACCACAACTTGCGTCGTGGCATTGCGCACTGTCACCTGCGACAGCGCTGCAACTTGTCGCGTGCTGCAAAATGAGCAAATCGCATTGCAGCGCAACACACCAACAGCGCCGCAAACGCGTTGGGGGGGGGGGGGCTGGGGACGACGGGCGACGGGAATATATATATATATATATATATATGTGTGTTTGTGTCCCAACTTAGAAGAAATCCAGATTGGTTTCGGGGGAAACTCCCAATTAATCCCACAGGAACTTAAAGCAACCTTACTCGTCCAGAGGCAAAGCCTTGCAATCGACAAGCGAGGCATTTGGTTGCAGTGGTTCGAGGCGAGCGCAAGCTCAAAACTCAGGCAAGTTACGCTTAAGGATCATAGGTGTCCTTTTTAGGTTAGTTCATTTGACAATAGATGGCACCGGATTCATTTACACCGCCTTCGGGTGTTCCAGCTATGCCAATTTGGTCCCAAAACTGGAACCCATGGTGGTGCTCCTGAAAACAAAAATCTCGACTCGGTTATTACTTGATCGCACTCTGCCTGAGAGGGGGGGTCACTTGCGAACGAACATGAACCTTTTCTTGAGGGTTTTCAGCAAGATCCCGGTTGGGACATCTCGACTACTATGCTCCCTTGGGGGGCCTACAAATGGGTATGGCTCAAAATTACAGAGCTAGGGTTACGCAGGTTTTGGTCTTTTTGATTCCATTTGCCAAGGTGCTATTTTGGTACATGTTTTTGAGCCGCTGCCAAATTGCTGCTCTATTCAAACCTCAGTCAGCTCCTTTTTTGCGGCGGGAGTAGGCTTTGAACAGCCACCAGGAGTTGAGATTGGTGGGCATGCAGAAATACCCCACGTACCGATGGGAGGAAACGAGATCTCGGTCGTCAGATGACGTTGCAAGAGATTTCCGGATATGGTCAGTTTGGGGACCTCAAAACAGGGGGCAGCCCGAATGTTCGTTGAGCTCCTGGGATGTGGGTGTTGCCGAAAGGTGGAAGATCCCATCCTGTTTGGGCTGATTCTGAGATGAAGTACATATATATATATATATATGCATTTTTTGCATATATACTTTAGAGCCTCCGGCTCAGTCCGCCGACATTGTCCTCTCCCTTTTCTCCTTCTTCCTCTCTTCCTTGTCTCCCTTGTGTGTTCTGTCGTCCTCTCTCCCTCTCTCGGCTCCCATCCTCCCCATCCCCCCAAGCCTCTCTCTCCCCAATCTCCCTCTCTCGTATGTATGCATGCATGTACATAAGTATGTATGTATGCATGCATGTATGTATGTATGTATGTATGTATGTATGTATGTATGTATGTATGTATGTAATGTAAGCAAGTAAGTAAGTAGTAAGTAAGTACGTAAGTAATGTAATGTAATGTAATGTAATGTAATGTAATGTAATGTAATGTAATGTAATGTAATGTAATGTATGTATGTATGTAATGTAATGTAATGTAATGTAATGTAATGTAATGTAATGTAATGTAATGTAATGTAATGTAATGTAATGTATGTAATGTATGTATGTGTATGTATGTATGTATGTATGTATGTATGTATGTATGTATGTATGTATGTATGTATGTATGTATGTATGTATGTATGTATGTATGTATGTATGTAATGTATGTAATGTATGTATGTATGTATGTATGTATGTATGTATGTATGTATGTATGTATGTATGTATGTATGTATGTATGTATGTATGTATGTATGTATGTATGTATGTATGTATGTATGTATGTATGTATGTATGTATGTATGTATGTATGTATGTATGTATGTATGTATGTATGTATGTATGTATGTATGTATGTATGTATGTATGTATGTATGTATGTATGTATGTAATGTATGTATGTATGTATGTATGTATGTATGTATGTATGTATGTATGTATGTATGTATGTAATGTAATGTAATGTAATGTAATGTATGTATGTATGTATGTATGTATGTATGTATGTATGTATGTATGTATGTATGTATGTATGTATGTATGTATGTATGTAATGTATGTATGTATGTATGTATGTATGTATGTATGTATGTATGTATGTATGTACATAATGTATGTATGTACATGTATGTAATGTATGTATGTATGTATGTAATGTATGTATGTATGTATGTATGTATGTATGTATGTATGTATGTATGTATGTATGTATGTATGTATGTATGTATGTATGTATGTATGTATGTATGTATGTATGTATGTATGTATGTATGTAATGTATGTATGTATGTATGTATGTATGTATGTATGTATGTATGTATGTATGTATGTATGTATGTATGTATGTATGTATGTATGTATGTATGTATGTATGTATGTATGTATGTATGTATGTATGTATGTATGTATGTATGTATGTATGTATGTATGTATGTGTAATGTAATGTAATGTAATGTATGTATGTATGTATGTATGTAATGTATGTATGTATGTATGTAATGTATGTAATGTAATGTAATGTATGTATGTATGTATGTATGTATGTATGTATGTATGTATGTATGTATGTATGTATGTAATGTAATGTAATGTAATGTAATGTAATGTATGTATGTATGTATGTATGTAATGTAATGTAATGTAATGTAATGTAATGTAATGTAATGTAATGTAATGTAATGTAATGTAATGTAATGTAATGTAATGTAATGTAATGTAATGTAATGTATGTAATGTAATGTAATGTAATGTAATGTAATGAAATGTAATGTAATGTAATGAAATGTAATGTAATGTAATGTAATGTAATGTAATGTAATGTAATGTAATGTAATGTAATGTAATGTAATGTAATGTAATGTAATGTAATGTAATGTAATGTA